TTGTCGTTCAGGTCCTGGACGGTGACCGTGACAGAGCATTCCGACACGCGGGGGTGCGAGCTCCACGGCATGTCGCCCTACAGTCACGGGTGCCACAGAGAGAAATAAAAACACGGGTGTCAGAGAGAGAGAGGAAGAAAGTCACGGGTGCCAGAGAGAGAGTGAGAGTCACGGGTGTCAGCCTGGACGGTGACCGTGACAGAGCATTCCGACACGCGGGGGTGCGAGCTCCACGGCATGTCGCCCTACAGTCACGGGTGCCACAGAGAGAAATAAGAACACGGGTGTCAGAGAGAGAGAGAGGAAGAAAGTGACGAGTGTCAGAGGGAGAGAGAGTAACGAGTGTCAGAGGGAGAGAGAGTAACGAGTGTCAGAGAGTGAGAGAGAGAGAGAGTCAAGGGTGCCAGAGAGAGAAATAGAAACACGTACGCGTGCCAGAGAGAAAGAGAGAGTCACGGTTGATAAAGCGAAAGAGAGGCACAGTTACGAACCTCCAAATGCAGCTAACGTTTTGTATCTCAACGCTCGTGAATTTCCATTATGAGGTCTTTAGATAAGAATAGCATTAGAGACAATCATTAACATATCCGTATAGACGTGTAACAGACGAGGGAAAAGGGAACTGCCAGTTGGACCGATCTCAAGGAAATGAATACATTCCGAAATTCCTAATCTTGAACAGTTCACGTAAACACTAAGTAACCCAGCGCTTTTTTGAATTGAAATAGCCAAAATGATATAAACGGAATTTAGACAATTAGTTTATACATCTTCACGCTTGTTTTGTCGTAATATTATGTTCAGAAAATATTTGGAACCTCGATGAAACTTTCAACTACTCATGGTCAAATATAAATCTAGTAACGGAGTTTCTGAAGAGAGTGGCGTGTGAAGGAAAATTCCAAACTCCGACAAGGTCTGATCCGTCTAGGGTCTGATGTTGAGCACCACATGGAAGCTCCAATAGGAAAACGATATCGACAATGGCCAAAACAAGTGAAGTCGAAAGTCTACGGAGGCTTTGAGATTGTTTTCAAATGTCTGTTCGATCCCCCAGAAAACCTCTCAATATTCCTAGAATCACGAAAAAATAACCCCGCAATTTGAAATAAAGAATTTGATTAAAAATAAGTTAAGGGATCTGTTTCTAATCTAATCACATTGTTTCAATAAAGGGTTCGAGGTTTTACAAGGGCACCAATTTTCAGGTGTTGGTTGCATGGCACTGAACCGGTTAAATGACCACTCACTATATTTTAATGATTATTGAAAATCTTGAATATTACAGGATACCAATACGAATCATTCGTGCAAGCAGAAACAATTTTAAAAATATAAAATTTCATGGCCGATTTTTATTTATTATCGTACTAAAGTATTTAATTGCAACAATACCTAAAAATGTTAAGGTAAAATTTAATTAAATGATCAATGAAATATACTTTCCGATGATGAAAAAAACATTAAAATTCAGAATTAAGAAAAGGAATAATTCGACTGATAATCACATAATTACTCAAAAAATGATTAATTATTTTGCACATAAGAATTTACACACGCTTGTATAACGCACGTACCAAATTTGTGCACCGCAGTAATGCGCCTACTGGACTCAACGAAGGACAACCTTACACATGACGACGCACCTGATCGGTGACCTGCACTCTAAAGTTGAGTCCCGCTCTGTGCTGTGGGTTCTCAAAATCCAGCGGCACTCTAGAGAACAGGTCAGCACCAGCTGTGCTTGCTGCCACTTCCACCAGCTGCCAGCCGTGACCGCTCCCTAGCACCACCTGTCGTGCGCATGGAAGTGCGAACAAGAGATTGTATTTCGATCGATACGAGTCTATAACCTAGACAACTATTGCTATCTTTTATTTATGTATCAAGTGCAGGTATTATTATCGATAAAAAATTTACGTTGCTTACTCCTTTTCTTCGCACAAGACTGAATATAAAATTGATTCATTTAAAAAGAAACTAACTTGAAACTAACAGTACTTGCCACGAGCTCGATATCGATTATCTTACTTTGGCTGGTTGCACTACTTTTCCTGCTGTCCTGTAATATGTTTCAAAATATTTTAATGCAAAGATATCTGTTAATTAAAGCTCACCGTACTGCCAATGACGAAAACTATCAATTACCCGGTATGCAAACACGTTGCTTGTATCAGGATCCGTCACCACGAGAGTCGAGATGAAATTTTCAGAGACGTTGCTGCGAGATTTGGACGATGGAAGGCCGCGGGAGGGAAATTCTCTGTTGGAAGACAACACTGCGCTGGATGATAATGCTTCCTTGGGCAACGTGACTTCTATCGACGAGGTAACTCCGTCGGATGACGAAACGTCGGGAGATGACGATGCTCCGTTGGCTGACGATGCTCCATGGGACAAAGAACGCTGGAAAGATGCTTGACGATGTTCGGGTACCAAGACATCGACGTGCGATCGCACGAAGGAAGGAGGAACGTCGTTGACGTCGTCGATGTTTACGGTAACGGTACAAGTACCTGAACAAACAGCAACGTAATTATTTTCTATTCCCTAGTGACATTCTACAATAATTAAATCAGATTTACGGTAACTTAGTGTTTTAGGGGACGATTGAATGTATAGTTGTTGAAATGAATGTGGTTTAATCGTATAGTTAGTCAAAAACTACTGGACGTCCTAACATGTTTTATTTGGGATCAAGCGTAGGAAAGAAATGTCAAAAATGGTCACATGTACTCCCCATCTGCAGACCTTTTTGGAACAAACTGGAAGTTTAGACTTTACGGGACACCACGATTTTATGGTCGCAAGGGAAATGTTAACTGGCGTTTCGTTAGCGCGAATCGCTATGTTAAAGAGAGCTTTGCTCTTCGCCAAAGACGCTGCGTAAAAAACAAGGCTTTGTCAGAGCAAATGTCAACAAAACCCAAGTTGCTGCGGTCATAAAGGAACTAAATTCACACGCACCGCTTGCAATATAGTACAAAACGCTTCGGAGAAAAGCTGCTGTTATTTAGCGCACCATCGCTATTTTGAAGACGAAGAGCCTGTTATGGGAGGTCTGTTACAGGCAGCTAGTACGCTGGATATTTATAGGATGGATTATCATCATTATAAATGAACAAATTGAATTAAATTAAATTAAAAAATCTTCCAAGAAAGTACAGTCGGTCGGAATCAAGCGAATCATGCGCATAATTACAGATTATGATCCGAAAAATGTCTCAACTTATCAACCAACAATTGCTTGCGGGAAAAAAAGGCGAGAGCATAGGAACGTTTCCATTGTTAAGCATACAACCAGCAAACACGGGACCATCGAAACCGCAACAGCCCTCTAAAAAAATACCCACACACATACAACAAACAAAATAACTACAACTAAAACAACAACAAATATCATAAACAACACATACCAAATTCATCAATCACTTTAGCGCAATCTTTTCTCTCCACAAACACATCAATTCACTCACTTCAAACAACCCCACACACTATCATTCAAATAATGCAATATATACTTAAACTCGTAAATCATATCACTTTTCAAAAAAATCAGTCTAAAATAGCCTTCACTACAATCGCAACACTCGAATCTTTATCACTCATCAGTCACGCCAATATATATCTCAAGAACAATGGCTCGCGTTTCCCAATACTAAACTCTATAATAGCCCTCGGTAGTCCAACAAAATATCGCCCACAAAAACCATATTCCAATACCCACAGGCATAATTCAAATCTATCCAATTGCAGCATCACGCACATTATCAGTAATCATTAGTTCACCCTGCAACTGTAGTATTAAAACACAACTCTGAAAACGTAGCAAGAATTGAGCCC